TAAATTTGATACACAGAATTAAAGCTACTTTAAGAATTATTAATTCATACTAGCAATATTCACTAACAAAATCAACTATTCCTGGTTAATTTACTGGTTGAATATTTCATTTGATCACCAAAAAGCTAAAATTTACAATTCACATCAAAGGCAGCATAAGTACAAAGGCTGTCAGATGGGGAATTTCTAGCACAAGAGCTTCAGTATCTCAAGGTGCTACCATTTCTCTTCTTCCACCTTTGCCTTTTTTATAGACATATTTAAAAAACAAAAGCAAAATTCATTCACTACAGTAAGATTCGTCTGTTTCCTTTCTCAGGTAATTCTTGGTTTGGGGTGATATATTAGAAAGATGCTTACATCTTAGGATCTTTTTTAGAATATATAAATATCACACCTATCAGGTAAACGTCTAGCAAAGTGCATGGAAAAATAGCCTTTCCTAAAAGGAAAGAATAAGTCCTCAATTTCTGTGAGCTCAGACAGAAGCTTATAGGTCCAGGACTCTAAAGACCTCACTGCTGAATCTCGAGCTGTTTACAACAGATGACCGTAATTGTAAGCATGCTTTATATTTCAACATGTGGCTTCCTGTGTGAGACAAATACCTGCTAACCTGACTACAAGAGTAATTCTTTTCCCTCTTAATCACTTGAGAATTTCCATCATTGCTTATCAGATCTTGGGTAGGGAGGACAGGAGCATAATTCTTCCTGAATTGAAGAAAATGGGAGAAACCGATAAAACAATGAATCTGGATTAGATATTCTGGAGGAAAGGAATAAATCAGACTGTATGTTTTGTTAAAGAGAGAAGAAAGGAAGTGATAAAATATACTTATTCCCTCAACTCTTTCTCATTCAAAAAAGCCAAGTATACCTGTATTTCCCAATCACTGTCTTATACCTCAGAATCTGGGCTAGACCGGGATACAATTTTCTCTATCTTACCTTTATACCTAAGAAACTGAAGATGACTGTGAGTGTGCATCAAAGTAAGTGAATGACTTATCATAACTTTTACCAAAAAAAAAAAAAATCAGTTTTTGCTAAGTGTTATCCTCATTTGTGGAGTCAGACATTTAATATCGGTTTAGTATCCTGGTCAACTAATTTTAAAATTTTGCACTCTGTAAGGTACTCCCCCAGTGTCACTGCGCTAATGTACTATCAGGAGGGAACTGCATTTTCTTCTTCCAGGTGAACAATGTACAAGAACATGAAATACAAATGCTAAGTCCTAATTTCTTGCCTATACTCTCCAAATGGTTTCCTTTTGGGAAAGGGAGGTTTAGGAGACAGCAAAGTCACACCAGAAGGTTAGGAATGACAGGACAATGCCCAATTTCACTTCGGCAGGTAGAAGTAATTTTTGCATCATTAGTATGAATGCTCTAAAGGCAGTGCTGTATCCAGAGCGGCAGTGAAGAAATCCCATGGGTCAGGATGCTGGCTCTTCCTGGTCTACCTTATCACCTAAGCAATTATAGTTGCTAATGAATATATGCTTTAAAGTCAGAAAAAAATGCTTCATATTTTCCAGTGTGGCCTCTGAGTTATCTCAATCAAATTACAAATCTTGGATTCTTCCATTTAACTGTTTCTGTTTTGATTTCACCAGGTTTAAGAATACAAGAAATAATAATTCTAAGAAAACATAACATATTCACTAAGTCCTCCAAATGGGTATTAAATAACAAAATAATAAAGCTATACTGACTTGTGATTCTTTTACTCACCATATTAATGTAAATTTAAAGTTAATAATGGAAAACCGAAATAAAAATTAAAAAGACAGAAAGAAAGTAAGTATAGTTGGAAAAAGGGCCAGTGGGAAAAAGGGCTAAAATCAGCCTTTGTATAATAAACTCTGATACTGAAGGCAGCATTAGTCAACTAACCACAACGAGTAAGAGTGACTCACACCATAGTTTAAGGGTGTTCTCTTTAGCAATGGCAATAGCAATTCAATTGCCAAAATTATTTAATCCACATATCTCCTAGGCATTTATCAAAAGTCTCTCACTAGTGTATTACTTTTTAATACCTGAACCTTGTTTTGGGAGGCAAATTTCTAGAAAAAGGAATCTTAAAATTAAGGCAGAAATCTATACTACTGCCTGGGTTCAGAAGATAATTGAATACTTAACAGTTTATCTTCCAAGAGATTATTAAAAAGCACTACCAGCTTGCAACGGTGTTATATTCTTTTTGCTTAAAACAGTGACAAGTCACAATGAGAGTTAAAGTGAGCATTTGTATTGTACTTATTATCCTAGATATGGAGAACTTACAGCCAGCTGTACTTCTAATACTGACAGACCATACATAAATATATACATATGAATATAGAACATATACAGTGTACACACACACACACACACTGTGTAAGCATGAAAGCAAAGAGAGGAAAAACACTAAATTAGCTCAAATATTTCCCCTAAGAGCAATTTCCTAGAATTGTACAATTGAGTAAAGATCATTACCTAATACTCTGAAAGAACAGCACAAATACCTCAAACTCAGATGTCTAGACAATTTGGCTTAGAATCTCAATCCAAAGGTCAACTGAAAGTTTCAAATATGCTTTCTAATTAAAAAAAATTTTTTTTTAGTAATTAAGAATAGGAGTTTTGGCCGGGCGTGGTGGCTCACGCCTGTAATCCTAGCTCTCTGGGAGGCCGAGGCGGGCGGATTGTTTGAGCTCAGGAGTTTGAAACCAGCCTGAGCAAGAGCGAGACCCCGTCTCTACTAAAAATACAAAGAAATTAATCGGACAACTAAAAATACATAGAAAAAATTAGCCGGGCATGGTGGCACATGCCTGTAGACCCAGCTACTCGGGAGGCTGAGGCAGAAGGATCGCTTGAGCCCAGGAGGTTGAGGTTGCTGTGAGTTAGGATGACGCCACGGCACTCTAGCCCGGGCAACACAGTGAGACTCTGTCTCAAAAAAAAAAAAAAAAAGGAATAGGAGTTTTACTTCTCCCTAGTGTTAACAGCTAAGCTTGCCAGAGTCAATATAAAGAATTCTAAGTGAGAAAAGGAAAATAAATATTTGGGGGGGGAAAAAGTGCATGACATCAAATTTCTTAAGAATACAGTTGATAAAAACTTCAACATCTATGTAATCTGAAGTAGTACAGGATTATTGTTTAAAAGAAATGAGCTGTTTACATTCTGGTTTTATTATAAGAGTTAACATTAAGATGATAAAATTGTAAAGTTGAATCGAAAACACCAAATCAGAAAGAGGCTGTCATCTAACCATTGTACATTCTCTCAGGGCTTTGGCATTTTTCTGGGTTTTACTGTGCAAATGTGACAAAACCATACACCACTTCTGCCACAGAGACAAAAGCCATTACTCCACTAAACAATAAAATTTAAAAATATGAGGTTAAAAAAATAAAGATCTACACTGAAGCACAATTTTGAAGGTAAAAAGTGGCAGAAAAATTCTTAGTTTTAAAAAAGAAAATAATCCTTTTTAATAGTCTTCAAAGAACACAAGAAAGATAAGGCTTTTGGAGGCCAGCTTTTGGAATTCAACTTGATGTGGTTATAAATAGAAAAAAGGATGGAGATGTATAAAAATATAATTCAGGTTAAAGGAAGATGTCATGCTGGGGCCACTCACTCAGCCCTAACTTATAGATGCCAAATTCATTTTTATATTTTAAAGCAGAAAAATGCAATTTAGGTTGTATAATGTTCATCTATAAACGTGAAGGCTTTCACAAAGGCTGACAAAGTATAATGAATTGTTCTGCCTAGGGTTAAATATCAACTAATCATCTGGACAGTCAGAAAAATCAAAGGGCAAGACATATACATAGGCACACACAGAATAGTCACCTTCAGCTGATTATTGAAAATATCAATCTCCTGTAGTTTTGATCTTGTTTCTTTCTCCACTTCATCCAGTTGGTCTCGTAGCTGCTGCCGAGCTAGTTCTTTTGCTTCTAAGGCTCTTTTAAGTGTAAGAAGTGAATCTCCTATTTTAGAAAAACATTGTAAGATAAGACAAAATTTAACTGGCAGTGAGGAAAGTGTTTTTTAATGTTATTTCACTTAAGGAAATTCCTGCCGGTAAAAAAAAAAAAAAAAAAGAATAGGAGTTTTACTTCTCCCTAGTGTTAACAGCTAAGCTTGCCAGAGTCAATATAAAGAATTCTAAGTGAGAAAAGGAAAATAAATATTTGGGGGGGGAAAAAGTGCATGACATCAAATTTCTTAAGAATACAGTTGATAAAAACTTCAACATCTATGTAATCTGAAGTAGTACAGGATTATTGTTTAAAAGAAATGAGCTGTTTACATTCTGGTTTTATTATAAGAGTTAACATTAAGATGATAAAATTGTAAAGTTGAATCGAAAACACCAAATCAGAAAGAGGCTGTCATCTAACCATTGTACATTCTCTCAGGGCTTTGGCATTTTTCTGGGTTTTACTGTGCAAATGTGACAAAACCATACACCACTTCTGCCACAGAGACAAAAGCCATTACTCCACTAAACAATAAAATTTAAAAATATGAGGTTAAAAAAATAAAGATCTACACTGAAGCACAATTTTGAAGGTAAAAAGTGGCAGAAAAATTCTTAGTTTTAAAAAAGAAAATAATCCTTTTTAATAGTCTTCAAAGAACACAAGAAAGATAAGGCTTTTGGAGGCCAGCTTTTGGAATTCAACTTGATGTGGTTATAAATAGAAAAAAGGATGGAGATGTATAAAAATATAATTCAGGTTAAAGGAAGATGTCATGCTGGGGCCACTCACTCAGCCCTAACTTATAGATGCCAAATTCATTTTTATATTTTAAAGCAGAAAAATGCAATTTAGGTTGTATAATGTTCATCTATAAACGTGAAGGCTTTCACAAAGGCTGACAAAGTATAATGAATTGTTCTGCCTAGGGTTAAATATCAACTAATCATCTGGACAGTCAGAAAAATCAAAGGGCAAGACATATACATAGGCACACACAGAATAGTCACCTTCAGCTGATTATTGAAAATATCAATCTCCTGTAGTTTTGATCTTGTTTCTTTCTCCACTTCATCCAGTTGGTCTCGTAGCTGCTGCCGAGCTAGTTCTTTTGCTTCTAAGGCTCTTTTAAGTGTAAGAAGTGAATCTCCTATTTTAGAAAAACATTGTAAGATAAGACAAAATTTAACTGGCAGTGAGGAAAGTGTTTTTTAATGTTATTTCACTTAAGGAAATTCCTGCCGGTAAAAAAAAAAAAAAAAAAGAAGAGGTCAGCTTTAAGAATAAAACACCTACTGTGCAAACTGTTTTGCTGAACTTGTTTTAATTGGTCATTGAGTATCTGTTTTTCTGGAATAAGTCTTCCAAGCATTTGCTGAGACTCCTGGGAAGGAAGAAGGAAAACAATAGTGAATGACAGGGAAAGTGACCATGTCTACATTAACACCAGGCAGAGTTTACATCTGTTTTCTCATCCCTCAAAGACTCTTCTAATCTCATCCCAAATTCTTTACAGTGAAGCTGTATTTAATTGCTAGTCAGGGTGGCTCTTGCTTTCTTGCCAAGAAATTAACTGTTTGCCAAATGCTTTTCCCTAAAATAAAGTTAAGACAGTTATAGCTCCTCTGATATTTCTTATATTTTTGTTGACTAACTGGATATTTACAAGCTTTCAAGAATGTACTTTAACTACAACTCGAGAGAAAAGTGAAGTAATGATCTCTCAGTGGCACTGGGATCGAATGCAAATGCAGTGACCCTCTCTGTTTGTAAACTCGGTAGTTTAAATAGGAACTATTATTCTATTCTGAACTTCGATACTTAATGAGGCTGAACTTAGGTTTACCATATACCAGAAGTTGGAAATAGAAATCTAAGAGATTTTTAACAACTAGAATCTTAGCTGTTATATATATTTTTTCACAACACTGGATGGAATTTTAAACAGATTGAGTAATTGATGCTTAAAAAAAGAATTTTAAACAAGTACCCAAAACTTTTGAACTAACAATTTTTAACTGACACAAAAAAGTTAAATCACACTGTACAGGCTATTTGGAGTTTTTGTGGGTAATTTGCCAAGTACAGTATTTGCTTAAGTGCGGCTGAAATTAGCCTCTCTAGTTCCTACACATTTCAGTAAAATGGCAGCCTTTCCAGTTATAATCAAGAATATTTAACTTTTATTTCTACCTTGATAAAAAATTATCTCTACGTACTGAGATTTGGTTTGAAAAACAAAAATGACTTAATTAAAAATTTTCATCAGATGCTAAGAACCAGTTTCTTTTGGAACAACCACCTTTAGATACAGACTGGCTTAAGTGGAATAAAGCTTTGCGTAATGGATGTCTGATAGAGAGATTTAGCCCAACAGTAAAGATTTAGAAGTATCTTCTCTTATGAATAATCACACCAAAAAAAAAATTTTAACAAAACAGGATATATAAATCAGTTTCCCCCCAAAAATAGCTAACTCATTTTCTCCTTCTGTTATTCTCCTCAATAAATTAAGGCACGGCCTCTTACCTAATCCCAGTTTCTTTTCTTTTTTTTTTTTGAGACAGGGTCTTGCTCTGTTGCCCAGGATAGAGTGCAGTGGCATCATCATAGCTCACAGCAATCTCAAACTCCTGCCTGGGCTCAAACGATCCTCCTGCCCCAGTCTCCTGAGTAGCTGGTACTATAGGTGTGTGCCACCTCATCTGGCTAATTTTTGTATTTTTTTGTAGAGATGGAGTCTCACTATGTTGCTCAGGATGGTCTCGAACTCCTGGCCTCAGCAATCCTCCCACCTCAAGCCTCCCAAAGTGCTGGGATTACAGACATGATTCATCATGCCCAGCCCCCAATCCAGTTTCTTTCCTGTATCAAGGCAAACAGTGAAATATCACGAGGAAGCCTGGCTCATTGAAACTGTTTTACTTATGTAAACGTTACCTTACAATGTATAACTTAAGTTTCTACAATAGGTCAAACCAACATAACAGGCTACCAGACTCATCTGCAAAGCAAGTATTTGCTAATCCCTATACAGAAAGAGAATCCAGGATTCCTAAAAAGTAGTGAAGTGAAAAATAATACATGGCCTACTATGTACCTTTCTTTCTTCAATCCATGTATTATTTTTCACTTCACTACTTTTTAGGAATCCTGATTTTTATTTTATTTTATCACCAATAACTGAATAGTCTAAGCATCAATGTTAAATAATAAAAATGTGTTTGGCCATACAGCATTCAGTGATAATACTGAGATAATAAATAAACACATAGTCTTCACCCCTAAATTTTCCAGGGGAGTATTTTATGAAACTTGTCATCAGTATTTAATAAAAGACACAGAAAGAGAGTTACCACATAGAAGATTATACTTTGCAAAGTAACATGCATTTTTCAGCTTTTTTTTTTTTTTCTGAGACAGAGTCTCGCTCTGTCACTCCAGGTAGAATACAGTGGCATTCTCGTAGCTCACTGCAACCTCAAAATCCTGGGCTCATGCAATCCTCTTGCCTCAGCCTCCAGTTAGATTACAGGCATGTGCCACCATGACTGGTTAATTTTTTCTATTTTTGGTAGAGACAGGGTCTCGCTCTTGTTCAGGCTGGTCTTGAACTCCTGACCTCAAGCAATCCTCACGCCTCGGCCTCCCAGGAGTGCTAGGATTACAGGCATGAGCCATTCCACCTGGCTACATTTATAATATTTTAAAACAATTTTCAGCAATGAACTTCTGGTACTTTTTATATCATATGTTCATATTCTAAAATATCAAATTGAAGAGAACTTTCTTAGGACTTCAAAGTACATGAAACAGCAGCTGAACAGAACTGAAAGGAAAACAGACAAATCCACGATGATTGAGATTTCAATGCTCCTCTCTCAGTAGCTGACAGAAGTCACAATATCAGTGAGGACATAGGAAGACTTTAATACCACCATGAATCACCTTGATCTAACTGACACTTATGGGGCGCTCTCCCTAACAGAGTGCACATTCTTTCCAAGTACACATGGAATATTCACCAAGATAGATCATATGCTGAGCCCTAAGTGTCAATAAATGTAAAAGAACTAGAAGAAATAAAAGAACAAAGGAAATAAAAAAAGACTTTGAATTAAATATGAAAATGAAAGTTATTAAAAATTTATATTATAGAATATGGCTATGGGAGTGCTTAGAAGGAAGTTTATAGCTTAAAGTGTTTATAACAGAAATGAAGAAATGTTCAAATTCAATTATCTAACTTCCTCCTATGAAGCTTGAAAAAAAAAATCCAAAATAAGTAAATGGAAGGAAGCAATAAAGAATATAAATAAGACAGAAAACAGACATATTACAGAGAAAAATCAATAAAGCCAAGAGCTTGTTAAAAAAAAAAAATCCATACAACCAATAAACAGCTGGATTGATGAAGAAAAGAGGAGGAGGAGGAAGGGGAGGAGAAAGGAGGAGGTGTGGAGGAAAGATGAGGAAGGAGGCAAGGAGAGAGAGGGAGAATGAGAAGACAAATTACCAATACAACATCAGGAATGAAAGAAAGGACATCACTATAGATACTACAGACTTGCAAGGAATAATTAAAGAATATTATAAATAATTTTGTATAAATAAACTTGATAATTTAGATGAAATAAACAAATTCACTGAAAGATACAAATTATAAAAACAGACTCGATAAGAAAAAGAAAATCATAATAGCCCTATAACTGTTAAGTAAATTTTATAAGTAAATCTTACCATGAAGAAAGCTCCAGGCCCAAAAGGCTTCACCGGTGTATGCCACCAAAACTTAAGGAAGAAACACCATTTCCACACAAACATTTTGAAAAACATAGGAGGAAGGAATACTTTCCAACTTATTTTCTGGGGTCAGCATTATCCTGATACCAAAACTAGATAAGGACATTATATGAAAACCAATCTCTCTTACGAATTCAAACGAAAAATCCTTAATAAAATGATAGCAAATTGAATCTAGTAAAATGTTTTTATAAAAGGTAACATATCACGACCAAGTGTGGTTTATTCCCGGAATGGAAGGCTGGTTTAACATTCAAGTTGCAATCAATGTAAATCACCATATTAACAAAATAAAGGAGAAAAAACACATAATTATCTTAATAGATGCAGGAAAAAAATATGGCCCAATTCAACACCTATTTGTGATAAAAATTCTCAGCAAAAAAGGAGCAGAAGGCAAGTCCCTCAACCTGATACAGGGTGGCTGTAAAAAATCTGGTTAACATCACACTTAATGGTGAGAGAGCTTTCCTCCTAATATGAACAAGGCTCTTCCCACATTTATTCAACATAGTATTGGGGGTACTGGTCAAGACACAAAAAGAAATAAAAGGTATACAGATTAGAAAATAAAAATTAAAGTTGTCTCTATGCACACATGGCACATTTATGTAGATGGAGATGCTCAAGGAAGCTACAAAAAGGTATGAGAACTAATAAATTAGTTAGGCAACATCACAGATTAAGGCCAATGCACAAAACTAAATTGTATTTCTACATACTGGCATCAGACAACTGGAAAGCGAAATAAAATTATGCAATATACAATTGCATCAAAACCTACAAAATACTTAGGGATAAACTTCATAAAATATGTACAAGACCTATACACTGAAAACTACAAAACACACTGCTTAAAGAAATTTGTAACAACCTAAATAGAGATTTATGCCGTAAGACTCAAAACTGTTAAGATGTCAAATCTTCCCAAATTGATCTATGAGTTCAACAGAATTCCAACAAAATTCCAAGTATTTTTGTAAAAACTGATAAACTGATTCTAAAGTTACATGGAAAAGTTAAGGATCTAGAATAGTCAAAAACAATTTTGAAAAAGAACAATAACAGAAAATTCACACCACTTGATTTCAAAAACTAGTTATCAACAGAGTCAGGTACTGGTGAAAGGATAGATACAGATATTAGGAAAAGAAGACAGTCCAGAAAAGGCCTTTACAGATATGTTCAATTGCTTTTCAACAAGCTACCAAGGCAACTCAATGGGAGAAAGGCCAGAGTGTTTTCAATAAATGGTGCTACCACAATTGGGTAACAGTATGGAAAAAATAAACCTCAACCACTACCTTGTACTATATACAAAAATCAATTTGAAATGGATCAGAGACCCAAACATATAAGATAAAACTATAAAACTTCTGGAAGAAAACATAAAATAAAATATTTGCATTCATGGGGTAGTCAAAGATTTCTTAGAACACAAAAAGTATGAACTAAAAGAAAAAAAACTGGTAAATTGAACTTTATCAAAACTTAAAACTTCTGCCCTTTAAAATACACCATTTCAGGCCGGGTGCAGTGGCTCACGCCTGTAATCCTAGCTCTCTGGGAGGCCGAGGTAGGCAGATTGTTTGAGCTCAGGAGTTCGAAACCAGCCTGAGCAAGAGCGAGACCCTGTCTCTACTAAAAATAGAAAGAAATTAATTGGACAACTAAAAATATATAGAAAAAATTAGCTGGGCATGGTGGCACATGCCTGTAGTCCCAGCTACTTGGGAGGCTGAGGCAGGAGGATCACTTGAGCCCAGGAGTTTGAGGTTGCTGTGAGCTAGGATGACGCCACGGCACTCTAGCCCGGGCAACAGAGTGAGACTCTGTCTCAAAAAAAAAAAAAAATACACCATTACAAAAATTAAAAGCAAACTGCAGATTGGGAGGAAACATTTGCAAAACATGTACCTGAAAGATGACTTGTTAATGGGAATATATAAAGAACTCTTCTAATTAAATATTAAGAAAAACTCAATAAAAAATGGGCAAAAAATTTGTTTGAACACTTCAACAAGACACACAAAAAAGGTACGTGCCAATAAACACATAAAATGATGCCCAACATAAAGCCTTAATGAAATATTGCCTTATACCCACCAGAAATGTCAAAAATAATGGTAAAACCAAGTGTTGATAAGGATGAGGAACAACCATATCACTCACAACTGCTGATCAGAACGTAAAATGGTACAAACCCTTTGGAAACAGTTTGGCAGTTTCTTACAGGGTTAAATATATACTTCTATGACATAGTAATTTCACTACTAAAAATTTACCCAAGAGAAATAACACATATTTTAATGCTCATTGCAGTTTTATTCATAAAAGTCCCAAACTGTAAAGAACTTGAATGTTAACAGGTGAATGAACGAATAAGGAAATACTAGTCAGTGACGAAAAGGAACTACTCATTCACTCAACAACATGGATAAATCTCAAAACATCACAAGGAGAAAAAGTAGTCTGATATAAAAGAGTCACAAATGATATAAAAGAGTAAAATATGATGACTGCAGATAATATTTACATAAATTTCATGCCCCTGTAGTTCAACACCTGATACCAAACCAGGTGATATTATAACAACTTTGAATAGGCAATAAATTGAAGGCAGAACTACTAATAGTACTCCACGGCATCTCTATTTTACATACATATCTCTCTCATACCCTCCTTAAAATACTTAATTGCACTTAATTATTGTAATTATCACAGTAAAACCAAAGTTCTGTTGGTGGACTACAGGTTCTGTGTGATTTGGCCCCCACCTAGTCTAATCACAGTGGTCCTCTTGCTGTAACTGGTATCCCAGAGACCTGCTGCGGCCTCAGGACTTCAGCACTGCTGGCTCCCTGCCTAGAGCTTGCTCTGCCCAGATATCTGCATGGCTTAGCCCCTCATCGATGTCAAATGTCACCCTCACGGAAAGGCCTGTCCTAACCACCTTTGTTAAAATCACAATCCTTCCTAGCCCCAGACTCTATATCCTCTTCCCTACTCACTCTCCATAGCACTTTTAATCTTCTAATAGAGTACAGACTTTAGTTAGTGCCTGTCCCTCCTGCCAACAGGGTAAGCTTCCCGAAGGCAGGGTTCTTGTCTCATTCACTGCCGTAGCCTCCGCGCCTGCAAGAGCGCCTGGCCGCAGCGTTGCTCAACAAACCTCTGCTGCGGTTATTTACTTGACAGCCTCCTTTTCAGGCAAGGACCCTTGTTTACTTCATCTTTGCTCCCCAATGCCTGGTACATGGTAGATGTTTAATATTTGCTGACTAAATAAATAAATGAAATGAATTCAAGAAAATGATGTAGGCCTAAAAGCTTCCGAGGGACATTATTTCCTCACCTGTAATTGTTGCTGTAGATGGGTGATTTCAGCAATTCTCAACTCTCTGGATTTGTTTGTACTCTCAATTTCCTGCCTTTGTGTGGTCAATCGACATCTGATATCTTGAAGTTTTCCTTCCAGTTGATGCTTTTTATCATTCTTTAACAAATGAAATAATAGCAATTATTACCACTTTTAATGGTTCCATGTTAGTATATTTCCAAGGCATAATAAAACTTCACTCACTAGAGCTTCTAATTCAAATTCCAAAGTCTTTTTCTTTGCTTTCAGTACAACTATGTCTTCTTGTTCTTTGTTTCTTTGATTTAGCAGTTCTTGCCTTCGATTCCGTTCCCACTCAAGTTGTCGTTGCCTTTCAAGTTCCCGTTTTGCAGCCTGTGACATTTACAGACAGTTTATTAATTTTTCAGTTCTTACACTATACAATATCTCTTCACAAAAGTGACATCTAGTAAGTCTTTCCTTTTAGGGATGAAATATTATTAAACATTACAAGAAATCACATTACAGAACAACAAAAAGAATTTTATAAAATACATTATTCCTTCTATGGAAAAGGGAATACAGAGAACTACTGTATTTACATCAGAAGAGAACTGACAGGATTATTTCACCCTTCGAATTCCATTTTATTACAAAACATTTTACTGACACAAATATCTGTACACATTTATAGGGTACATGTGGAATTTTGTTACATGCATACAGTGTGTAATGATTAAGTCAGGGTATTCAGGGTGTTCATTACCTCAAGTATTTATTATTTCTGTATGTTGGGAACATTTCTAGTCCTCTGGTCTAGGTATTTTGAAATACATAATACAGTGCTGTTAACTATAGTCACTCTACTCTGCTGGCAAATATTAGAACTTATGGAATTCCATTGTTTATGCCTTCAAAAGTGCATAATGTGCTAAATAAAAGTGCTCTTTCTTATTTACTGACTCGCAAAGAGGAGGGAAAATTTCTGTATCAAGTATACTAAAACTAATCCTCCCAGAATAAAAACAAAACTTGATTTTATTCCCTCAAAAGAGAAATTATTATGTATCCTTTAAAAAAAAAAAAGTCTCTTTTAAAAATCTGCGACTTCCACCTCCCTAATCATTCATTTCCTTTTTACCACTAAGCTTCAGTAATTTCTCTGGAACTGTCAGCTCTCCTCCCCACTGACTCTGGTGACTGCTTGGTAGAGTCCGTATCAGAGTACCTGGGACTATTTATTGGAATTTTCTCTCACTTACGGGTCTTCCAACTACACTATAAGGTCCTGGAGTAGTATCTAGTCACAACTGTATCTTCAGGGACAAATGACCCCTGGCACATGGTAAATGTCTGTTAAATAATTCTGAATAAATACTCTAAAATGTTATTTTTTTTTACACTGAAGAAGAGAAGGCTTTTATCTTTTGGTTGTCCACTCTGGAAATTAAAATCTTGTTAGTATTTGTGTGTATCTGCCTGACCAAAAAGCAGCTGATGGCTATAAGCTTTCTAAAGCAATCAGCAGGAGATGAAAGAGAACTATTATTTTCTTATAAAGAAAAATTCCTCATGTGTATACTTCATTCACATGAGAGAGTCATGCTTGCTTTGGTAGCAACATACTAAAACTGAAAAGGCAGACAAGAGATTAGCTTGGCCCCTATCCAGGTATGGTACCAAATTTATGAAGCCTTCCATAGAATACAGGAGGATTTCCCAGACATATTTTTAAGAGTGTACAAAAAAAAGTCACAGAACAATATAATTGGTTATAACCATTACAGTGGCTCAAAAAGTAGACAACCCCCCCATGCTCCCCACCATATAAACCTTTCTATTTTTATATAGGTATATAAATATAGAGACAATAGTCTGGAAAAACACTTAAGTGGTATCAGTGATTTGTAACAAGACTGTGACATAAAAAACTTGTACATGAATGTTCATAACAGCAGTATTTACAACAGCCAGAAAGCAGAAACAACCCAATGCCCATAAACTGATGAATGGGTAAATAAAATGTGGTATATCTATATGATGGAGTATTATTCAGCCATAAAGAGGAATAAAGTTCCGATTCACGATACAACGTGGATGAACCTTGAAAACATTATACTAAGTAAAAGTCAGAAACAAAAGACCACATACTGTCTGATTCCATTTGTGAGAAATGTCCAGAATAGGCAAATCTGTAGAGATAGAAAGTAAAGTAGCGGTTGCCGGGAGCTGGGGGAAGAGCGGGAAGGGAGTGACTACTTCATGGGTAAGGGGCTTCTTTTGGGGGTGATGAAAATATTCTGGAATTAGATAGTGGTGACGGTTGCACAACTTTGTGAATACACTAAAATTCCTTCATTGTAAAAAGGAAAAAAAAAACCACTATTATTTAATAATAGATCACTGGAGTGTGGGGAGTTCGAGCACTGACCACCGGGTGGCTGCTCACCTCTCGCCTCTCGATCTCCTTCCTCCTCTCCTCTTCTCTCTGCCGCTCCAGCTCCCGCTGCTTTTCCAGCTGCTTCTCCAGCTCCAGCTGCCTCTTGCGCTCCTGCTCCTGCCGCTCACGCTCTTTCCTCTCCTGCTCCGCCCGCTCCAGCTGCGCCAAGCGCTCTTGCTCTTTGCGCTGCTGCTCCAAGAGAGCTTGTCTTCGTTTCTCCAGTTCCAGATTGCCACGTTCAAAGTTCTCCCGCTTCTTATCTTCAAACGTTACTTTAAAACAGGAACAGATCAATTATGAAAGTCATGATTTTCAACATACTATTTCCAAAGGAGAAATTTCTTGGTCCGTATAAAACCTGTACAAAAGCCAAACCTGGAACTCCCTAAGCTTCCTGACTGTTCCCCTTGTTAGTAGGCACTACGAAAATGTCCTCACCTAACCTTTCGGCTTACATACTCTCCCCTCCACGCCAAACGCTGTTTCTAGAAAAATCTTTCGCTAACAGTTCCAACTCATCACTCAATCTCCTTTCCTTCCCCGTTCCTCTGTCCCTTTCCCTTCTCCATGACCTTGCTTCACCAACTGACCCCCTTTCTCTGCAGGACCATGAATCTCTCCCTCTCCTTCTCCTTAGCTTCTAACTGTGCTGACGTGTCTTCTATTCTAACAAGAGGATGTCTCAAAGCAGAGGTAGAAGGTGAGCATTCCATGTTTCCCACTGAAGAACAAGACATGCCCTAATCATTACGTAGATCAAAATCAGTAAATAATTTTTTCTATTTGATAATTCAGTTTCTTTCTTTGATAACATTAATTATGAATTTTAGACCAATTACCCAGTTTTATAACTTTTTTCTGTAATCCTTGCGAATTAGATAGTGGTGACGGTCCTTGTTTATATTCATTTTACTATTAGTATATTCCTTTTCTAAAATCCCATCTTCCATGTCCCTTACTATCTTTGGCAGTGTCTATTCGATTTTGTGTTTGCCTCACATGCTTCTCCTTGGTACCAACTAATACCAGCCAAGGGAGGCTCCCACTGCCAGCCTGGGTAGCATCCCTTCCCATTGATCTAAATCTGTTCAAGAACTGTCATTTCTCGCTTTGCCTCGAGATCTGTGCTGTGAGCATCCTTCCTTGGCCTCTTTCCACAGTCCTGTTTCGCTTCGCTGCTTTAGACAGACTTCCCTCATATGCTGTAGTCGAGGATTAGAGATCAAAGATGGCAAGTATGTTTTAGTTTTCTTGTTCTTCTTGTACCTTTGTTGATTTCAGAGGAGGCAGCATCCTCTTTATTCTGATACTTTAAAACTGCAAGTCCCTCCCTCACGGAAAGAAATCAAGTAATGATCCATGCTACAAGATGAATAATATCAAAAATATTGTGCCAAGTGAAAAAAGCCAGATGTAAAGGGTCCCATATTGTATGATTCCATTTATATGAAATACCCACAATAGGTAAATCCAAAGGGACAGAAAGCAGATTGGTGGTTGCCAGGGACTGAGGGGAAGGGAGAGTGGGGAATGACTGGGTAGGGAGCTTTCTTCTGGGGTGACGAAAATGTTTCAGAACAAGATAGAGGTGGCAGCTACACAACATTGTCAGTATACTAAATGCCACAGTTACGGACTCAATGTTTGCATTCTCCCACAAATTCATACGTTGGAGCCCTAATTACCCCAATGTGATAGCATCTGGAGATAGGTCCTTTGAGAGGTAATTAGGGTTATATGAGATCATGAGGCTGGGGCCTTTGTGATGAGATTAGTGTCCTTATAAAAAGAGTGTCCTATAGTCACACACCAAGGAAATGCCATGTAAGGACATGTGAGAGAAGCCATATAAGAGATAGCTGCTGTCTGAAAGCCAGGAAGAGAGCTCTCACCAGGAACCAAACTGCCTAGCAACATCTTGATCTTGGACTTCCAACCTCCAGAACTGAGAAATAAAGTTCCACCATTTAAGCCATCCAATCTACGATATTTTGTTATGGTAGCCCAAGCCCCTGAAGTGTACACTTTATATTATGTGAATGTCATCTCAAGTTAAAAACTCTGAAAGTCTTTATATATTTTTTCCAGTATCTGGCACTATTCCTAGTATGTAGGAGGCGCACAATAAATGGCTGTTGAAAGAATGAATGTACAAATGAAATACTCTGATAATGCTGCTTCCTGTTCAAAATTTTAATGAATGTCTACTACCAACAGAATAAGAAAATTCCAAATTCTAAGAATTCCTGTCCTTATCTGCCACTGAGACTTCATTCCGATTCTTATCAAAACCTGAAATGTTCCGCACTTCCAGCTGTGGTGATCCTATTCATCTTCAAGTCTCAACTCAACTGTGACCTCTTCCAAAGAGATTTAATTCCTCTTGTCCCTCCCAGTCTACACCAACCAACCATAAGTAAGGTCTGTTGTACATCTATAATACTCTCTAGTCATTTATCCTATTTATGTACTCTGCTTAAATGATTATTTATATGGGTGTCTTACATACTCTATTAGAAGTTTCTAGAGGGAACAGACCATGTGTTATTAACATTTAGGTTCTTTCTTGTACTCAACACAGAGCCTTGCACACAGAACATCTGCAGTAAGTATTTGATCAGTGACGAAAAAGTAATTTAGTTTAGAGAATAAACTGGGAGAGCTAGTGTCCAGAGCAGACCAAGTTAACTGCCGAGCACTTTACATGCAACAAAATGACAAAGTAATTAACATAAAAAGAATCCATAATAAATTTCACTTGCTTCTTAGTATCATTATCATCTCATCATTAAGAATTCATAGCCACCTTAGAATATTTTAATAGTATGATGGGTTTATCATTATAAATGTAAAATAGGTTCACATCAAATTCAAAGGAGTTTCCTGCTAATAAGAAGTTGCCAATTCTCCTACAAGAGGAGAAAATAACAATTAGGTGATTTCACTTTCTGTTTCTGCACAGGTGGCATTAAGCAATCACCTTAAAACTTACTAATTTTTAGTGTTCTATATTCTATAGATAACACATACAATTTTGGTTTAGCAGTATGTAATTAGATTTTGAGTTAAAAGTTAGAACACAGGTACATTAACAGAGTATATAATGTTTTTATTTCTCCACACAGATATAAATCTAAAAGTATATTAAAAGTGTCTCTTTCTAAGGTCCTTTAAAGCAACATAGCAAAAATGTCAAAAGCTAATTTATTTTTACCTCCATCTTTGCCTTAGAGATAGAAAATCTCTAATTTAGTTGAATCAAAATGATTTAACTCAAATATGAAGATTGCCTTACCAGGTAATTTCTTTTCTAATTGTTGCTGTTCATCTTCCAAAACTGGTTCCTCTGGTAACCTCTGATCTACAGATGTTGAGCTTATGACAGATATACCACTGCCAGATCGAACTCTTCTGCAGTTGTGGGGGGAAAAAAAGAAAAGGAGATTCACACAGAGCTGTCTCGTTAAAACTGGACAAGTTATGAAAAAGAATTTTAAAAGATCTTATCATGTCATGGAGCAAATTTCATTTATAGTGAAGAAAAATTAAAGATTTGATCTTCTTTATTTACAAAGAGTTTTTTGAAAATGAATATTTGAACATCATCAGACTTTGAGTGCCTTGTTCAAAATGTTTAGTAGTGCCACCAAAATTAGGACAATTCCAAAGGACCGAATTAGTTAATCATAAAGTGGTTAGACCAATACCTGGGACAAAATGATCACTCAATAAGCATTAGCTGCTATTTCCACTGCCCTTTCAAGTAATTTTAAATTCCTCCAAGGGAAGATCAGCATCTCAGCTAATTGGGAGCATCTCTTTTCCAATGACAAAGTCTCTGCATTTCATCCCTTAATAAACACATGAAATGTCTATACTTTATAGTTCTTAAAACAAATCACTTAGTTTACTACTTTGTTTCACTGTAAACTTTTAACTTTGCTCTGTTACAACAATTCTCCATATCCTTCTTTTTATGCTTTTATTATCTGCTTCAGGTGCTAAATGTCTTTCCTACTGATTGTTGCAGCTATGGGATTTTATAGGCAAACTGCTTCAGCATTTGTTGCTTTCTACACAGTTTCCTCAACTTGCTCCTGTGCCATGTATGTGCTGACAGTGATAGCTCTTTATCTCTCCATTTTAGGGGCATTTGCCCCAGTCTTCCCTGAAGTTTAAGAAATTGGGACAGAAATTCTTATCTTTGTTTCTTTCGTTTTTCTTTGCCCTTGTAAGACCTCATATTCATTGTTTATGTTTAAAGCCAGGAGATGGTGCTGTCCAGGACAGGGTGTGCACACATGCACATGTGCGGGTGTCTGTCACGGCAGATTTCTCCCGACTGGACCTTGGGGACTCTCTTGACATCTCTACTGAGACTGTGTTTCAGACCAAGACAATTGTCTCTATTTTCCTGATTATAATTAAAGGTGGGAGACAGAAGTGGCTTGCAGCTGTTATCCCAGCTACTGGTGAGCTGAGGCAGGAGGATGGCTCGAGGCCAGGAGTTCAAGACTAGCCTGGGCAATATAGCGAGACTCTGTCTCAAAAACAAAACAAAAACAAACAGAAATTTCTACATTGCCAGCATTTCTGTTACTCCTGAATGTGCAGAATTCACAGGCATGATTTCCTTGTTTTCTTTTCTTTTCTTTTCCCCAGGAACAGGGTCTCACTTTGTTGCCCAGGCATGAGGGCAGTGGCATGATGTAGCACACTGCAACCTCAAACTCCTGGGCTCAAGCAATCTTCCTGCCTCAGCCTCCCAAAGTGCTACGATTACAGGCATGAGTCACTGCACCCAGCCTCCTTGTTTTATTTTCATAGAAAAATAAAGCTCATACTGTTTGTTTTTCACTGCTGACACCTGCTGCTAAAATTTCTGGTGAGCTTTGATTACATAGGTTGGTACAAAAATCAACAATCTTTTGATATTTTATTTCATTATTTCACTAATATACTACAGGTGTTCTGAAGAACAGAATGGGCTCAGGATTAACCCAGAACCTAAATAAGATTCTCTTTAATTCATGGATATTTCACTTACTTGCCAGGAATGAAAATCACTATAAGATACATAGTCATCAAAGCCAAGTTGGGAATTCACATACTCTGAACACAATTTCTTACAAGAGCCAAATGTTCTTTACCTAAAGGAAGGTGGAATGTATTCTGGAGGCAGGACAGGTGGCAGTGGTTGGCCAGACATAGCTACATCAATTAGGTGCATAGCCAGGATAAATTCTTCTGCTGTGAGTTTTCCATCTTGATCAATATCAGAAAGATTCCTATTCAACAAAAAGTTCACTGTAATCCAGTTTTATGAAAATGCATGCTTTTTACCATTCATGAGTGATTTCTGTTTCATGAGTGATTTCAGTAAGTTCTGTTTTCTTATTCTGACCTTAGGCCAATTGAATCTTTCTGTGCTTCAGTTTGTAGAAACAATACCTATTTCAAACTTTTGCAAAGATAGAATTCCATATAGTTGGGATAGTGTTCGGTATCCAGCAAATGCCACGATTATAATGATATTCTTCTCGATCCCTGTAAGTCTATTTAAAATATAACATATTCATATTCTGTGTATCTTTAAATGCTATGCCTTGGACCAGGGACTGACAAACTATCAGTAAAGGGTCAAGTAGTAATAAGTATTTTACGGTTTGTCGGACATAGAAACTTTATCATACTGAGTTCTGTCCTTTCGGCAGGAAAGCAGCTATATAGGCAACATACAAATGAATGGGTGTGGCTGTTTTTACAATAAAGCTTCATTTACAACAACAGGTGCAGGCCAGATTTGCCCCACTGGGCATAGCTGGCCACCCCCTAATCCAGGCCTACAGGGTGGCATCTTTATGGCCTACAGCCGTAGCCAAAGTGTTTCCTCCTCCTCAATCTCCAAATTCAATCTCAATCATTCATTCTTCACAAAGAACTTGCCCAAGTAGCTAATTACAGTAAACAGATTTTCCTAGCAAGTCCAAGAATGTGATTTTACTTAACAACTTCTGGACACTGAAAGAAGAAATGACACATCTGTTCACTAGAATGTCAACTGGACAAATGCCACATTAAGAAACTGGCTTTGCCAATGCCGAAAGTTAAGAAACTTTCTACTTAATTCTGAAATTTCTTTAGGTGCCACAAACATTTTTTTATTAAGGTATAATTTCCATGTAGTAACATTCACCCTTCCTAGAGTACAATTCTGCAAGTTTTGACAAACATATTCAACTGTGTAACTATCACCACGATATACAGAACAGTGTCAGGACCACCAAAAATTCCTACATGTTACAGTCAACTCCTTCCTTTCCCCTTTGTCCCTGGCAGCCGCTGATCTCTTTTCTGTCCCTCTAGTTTTGCCTTTCCCAAATGCTAGACACCCATTTTTATACAGAACAGAAATGCAAATGAAATGAAAACCCCCTCCTGCTCTTCCTTACTCTCTTTTCCTTTTCATGGCTCATCACTAGTGACTCCTAAGTAAATTAGATTAGAAGGCAGTCAGAATTTGTATTAATATTTGTTTGTTCCCCTTGTCTAAATTATTTAATTAAATTTTTTTTTAGTGTGTAGGAGAATAATAACATTCTAATAGGAGAAGCCTCAAGTGTTTTTTCCAAAGAAGGTAAGTTATAAATGAGAAATCTAAAATAAACATTTTAATACAATCTGGTACCATGAGAACAACCTAATAAACTGTCACTTGACCTCCACGAATGTTAGATCTTAAGTTTACAGTTCAGAGGGCCCTAGGATACGCGTACATACCCAGACTTAAAGAAGTCTGCATATGTCAGAGATACAAGATGCTTATTAACTGGTCTATTCTAGCGCCAAAGCAGAATGGAAGAGTAAGGGCATAGGGAGCTGGACTAGACCTTGATCTCTTGTAAAGCAACTATACCAATGTGCAGGAAAATCATGAACTTGGCATGTGAGCAATATAGACCAGGTTTATTTTCTAGGCATAATCATTAACACATAATTTAAAAATGTACACTTCTTAAGAACCCATTTTGGTTAACATTTAAATGTAAGGAAATCTATAGGATCTAGGCAATGCTCATCAATAGCTATTCAAAAGTATTACAAAATAAAGAAATTATGTGTCTCCCGATGAAAGTACACAGTAACATCTCTGGCAAAACAAACAAGCAAAAAAAATCAAACTTGAATCTGATTCATGTTTCTTAGCCAGGAATGATTTTGTACCCTAAGAGATATTTGTCAGTGTCTGGGGACATTTTTGATAGTCACAGCTGGGGGTGGGGTCATGCTGCTGGCATTTAGCATCTAGTGAGTAGGGGCCAGAGATGCTACTAAACATCCTACACTGCACAGGACAGTCCCCCACAACACAGATTTACTGGGCCCAAAATGCCAATAGTGCCAAGGTTGAGAAGCCTTTCCTAGATCTAATTACCAATATGCAGGAAATACAGGAACAAATTAAACAACACCGTAGGGAAGCAATCACCAAAAGTTAGGCCAATAAGAAAATATAGGACAAATGATCTGGTTTGTTTTTATGGGTTTTTTTGTGGGGTGGGGAGAGAATTAAGTAAAGAACAAGATAAAGGGGGCTTTATTGATTAAAGGAGACTTGAAAGATGTATCAATAAAATATTACAAAGTAGAGATTTATTTCAGTCCTGATTTGAACAAACTATGAAAAATTTTGAGGCAATCTAAGAAATTTGAACACTACTTGATTAATTTAATGATAAGGATGGCTACTGAAGATTTTAGGTAGACTGTTGGCATTATGGTTATGTTAAAAAATATCCCTATCTCTTTTGAAGACACATGCTGAAATATTTGCTAAGAAATAATATAACAACTGAGACTTGGCTTAAAATAATTGGACAAAAGGAAGAGAGAACCGAGACTGGTCATTAGTTGAGAATTGTTGTGTTATGAGTTCTTGAGAATTCACTGTATTCATCTCTCTGCTTTTGTATTTTTCAAAATCAACAGGGGAAAAAAGAAAGAGGCAATCACTACAACTCATTGAAAATTAAGCATATTCTAAATATAACCCTATAAAAATTAATCTAAAAACCCATGAGGCCATACCAATCTAAGAAATAGAGTTTCCACTTTATCCAAACCAAGGAATTTTTCATTCCTTACCATATTGAAGCCAACTGAGCCTGTGGTAAACTTGATTGCATAAGAATAGTTCTTGCTTGGGGACCTAAACAGAAACCAGGGAAAAGATATACAGATGAGTCAGCAAACACTCACCGTACAGGAAGACCAGGGTTCTGTGCACCTGCACTATGCAACCTCATGCAATCACAGTGCTTTAAACATTTGCTATTACCCTAGGTGCTTTGTAAAAAGGAAATTAACCTCCAATGAAAAGGGGAAGAAACAAAAAGCATAGCAAAGTATCTGACACATACTTTGTTAAACATTTGAAAGAACAGAGTTTCAAAATATAACCTGGCATTTTGTCCAGATCACCATCTCTATTTGTATTGGGCTTTATTTACAAAGCTCAAACTTATTCTGTCTAAATTTAACATCTTCTGCCACTGCCCCCACCTGCTGCCGCCACCATGACCATCATCAGACAAATTTGAGGAAGATTCAGAGAATCTTAGAGGAGGAACGGACCTCAGAGGGATTTCTTCTGTTTCATTGTACAGATTTTAAAAAGAAAAAAAAAGGGTTGATTACTCAAGGCTGCACAAATGGCTAACATCACAGCCAGGATTAGAACATGTTTCCCAAAAAAGACACCTGCACCCGAATGTTTATAGCAGTACAATTCACAACTGCAAAGATGTGGAAACAACCCAAGTGTCCATCAACACGAGTGGATTAATGAAACGTGGTATATGTATACCATGGAGTACTATTCAGCTTTAAGAAACGATGGTGATATAGCACCTCTTGTATAATCCTAGATAGAGCTGGAACCCATTCTACTAAGTGAAGTATCCCAAGAATGGAAAAACAAGCACCACATGTACTCACCATCAAATTGGTATTAACTGATCAACACATAAGTGCACATATAAGAATAACATCTATTAGATGTCGGGCAGGGGGGAGGGGGGAGGAGGGGACAGGTATATGCATACACAAAGAGTGTGATGTGCACCATCCGAGGGATGGACACACTTGAAACTCGGACTTGGCGGTGGGGAGGGGGGGCAAGGGCAACATTTGTAACCTAAACATTTGTACCCCCATAATATCCTGAAATAAAAAAAAAAAACACGTTTCCTATGTTAGTAAAAAACAAAAACAAAACTTTAGCGAAAGATTTAATTTACACTTGTAACAATTCTCCCCACTTCAGAACTACATAAAAGAACGTTAATGTTTTATCTACTCCAGATCAAAAGGATAACAATAAATGTGAAGAACTAGCTGTGCAGACCTGCATATTAGGAGACTTGGATTCCAGTCCTGATTCCGTAATGCTATGTGACATTAATAAAATTAGTTGGCTCTCTAAAATGAAGTTTGGCTAGGCTGGTAGCTCATGCCTGTGATCCTAGCACTTTGGGAGGCCAAGGCAGGAGGCTCACTTGAGGCCAGGAGTTCGAGATCAGCCTGAGCAACATAGTGAGATCCTGTCTCCACAAAAAATAGAAAAATTAGCTGAGCATGGTGGCATATGCCTGTAGTCCCCAGCTACTTGGGAGGCCAAGACAGGAGGATCACTTTAGCCCAGGTGCTTGAGGTTGCAATGAACTATTAATATGATGATGTCACTGCACTCTACCCCTGGGAGTATAGTGAGACACTATCTCGATCAATCAATTAATAAAGTTCCTTCATCTGTGAAATGAGAAAAATAATCTAGAACACAAACTGGCAGACTACAGCCAACAGACCATATCTGGCCCACTGCTGGTTTTCGTAAATAAAGTTCTATTAAAATAGCCATGCTCATTCATTTAAGTATGAATATGGCTGCCTTCGCCCTACTATGGCAAAGTTGAGTAGCTGCAACACAGAACATATGCCTTGCAAACCTAAAATATTTACTATTTTGTTCTTTACAGGAAAAGTTTGCTGATCCCTGCACGGAAGATCACAACAGTCTCCCGCAATTCTACTATTTGACTCTGTGCTAAAGCGATGTTGTGAAACGTTAAAAATAGATCAGGAACAGCTAAGATAGCATCCTAGCATAACAGGACAGCATAGAATTGAGCTTTAAGTGCTCAGAATTCTCCTATGGAAACCTATGTATATAAAGGGATATTGGTTTTGGAGTACTGGCTTATAAGGAAATATTAGGAATAAAAAGAAATCTTAAGTTCACAAACTCCACTATAGCCACCTATGTTTGGGTAGGGAAGTATGACTGGAAAGGAGATAAGAATATGGAATTAATGCTTTAGTTCAGACAATGACTAATTTAGCTTTTCTGATTAATAGATGAGTAACCAATAGCATACTCATTGTTTAGGAATGTAACAAGATAATAAAATACCTTGTGACAAGAGCAGCTAGCATTAACAGGATTACCAGAATTCTAGAGCTTCTTACATTATCTTAATTAAAGAATGGGCCCTATTTTATAAGGCTGCCTCTTTTAAGAGCATGCAACAGCATACAGATCGAGTTGTAAAGGAAAATGGTAGTGTCCACCTAATCAGATGTGCCAGCTAAATCGACCCAGATTATGAATGGGCTGAATAGTGCCACTGTTGGGTTAGCTTCACTTCCTAAGGTGGACTAGCTCATATCACAAGATCAGAGGTTCTCGCCTTCTTCTGGTGGGACCAATCGATGGCATTCTTATGCCCACAACACACACTTACAGATGTAGCCAGAAGTGATAGCATCCAAAAGAAGTATGTGAAAACAAATCACAATGGTAATCGGGAATCCCTCTAAGTACCAACAGTACATTAACAATGGGTGTGTGTTAGAAGACTACATGCAGTTTATGTACAATTCTTGGAGAGCCAATGATAATTACACCTCACTCCAAAAACATATGTGAATGCCAGTAATGATACCCAAGATTCTCCTCTAATTTATATCAAAACAAATTATCTACAACTCCTATACTTTAACTGGTATTCATAACACCAGGATGTTCCAACTCCAAGGTTAAGAACTACTGCACTAGATGAAGAAATTATAATTACATGCATGTTGTAAAAATGCTTTTTAGGTCCTTTAAAACAAGAACCCACAAAAAATAAAATCAAGAATGAAGAAAAACAATAGATTAAGAATATTAAATTATGTATTTCACTTGGGCTTCTTTATATACTTGGACTTTTTTTTAGCTTTCTTGATATTCCTCTTATCCATTCTGAGTTCACTGAATTATTTCTATAGTTGTGATCAAGACAATGACCTTTATATTTCATCCATCTCAACAAATCAGCTCTGCTTCCATCAACAGTCTAGGTTAGCCTAGAAAACACTGTATATTTACTCCTAAGTACCTAAAAGGAAAACAAATTAAAGTTCTTTTATTTATTCCCATCATCATGACTACACAAAGGTTTGGTTCAAAAGTAAAACTCCCACCTTAAATTCTTGCTGGATCAAGCAGATAAAGAATAGCAAAATCTGCTTTCTTTCCAGTATATTTCAAATTTTACTTTCTGCCTCAGATATTTAAAAGTTGCAAAATGTTCAAGTGCCTGTGTCATTCATTGTATCTGGGATATAGATAATGCATTTCATTCATAAAACACACACCTGACCAAGAAAGAATTTCTCAATCAATGTTGCATTTGAATACCATTTTATTTTTATTTATTTTTTTAAAGGCAAGCATGAGGTGAAATTTATTGAGGGGGAGCAAGATAGGATTATAAAGCAAGAGTATGATACAGGTTTACAACGCAAGATACATACACCACAGATGGTGACTGGACCCCCTGTCGTAGCAAAAAAGTGAATACTATTTTAATTAACTCACAGCAAACACTGTCAATGTTTTGAAGAAATATGTTCAGATTTGTTGGCAATGTAGTTCTGGGTTTGCATGGAGCACTGGTATCGCATAGACCGTGCAAAACAGTACTTCAAACTATACTATCAAATATTCCTTCAGTGCCTGGATAAGCTAGATTGGTTTTACACACTATGTATAAAAATGACAGCTACTATTTAGCAGGGAGTGAGTGTGATGTACAAAGAATTTGTCTATATTTACTATTCACCCCTTCAGATACAAATATGAGCTGATTTGAGGTCACTGCTGAGATCCTTTATGGAGACAGGGTTCAAGATTAGATCAGAATCCTTCAAAGTCTCATCCAACTACAACATTTTTAAACATAAAAACATTTTTTTTAATTAAAAACTGCAATCATAATAGCAGGAAAAAAACAAGATAGTAAGAATCAGAATTTAAAAGTGTTTTCTGTTATATATCATTGCTTCCCCACTTCAGGAAAATTAACCCTTTTTTCCCTTCCTTTCATATTTGTTAAGACACAGTTACAGGGGCTGGGCGCGGTGGCTCATGCCTGTAATCCTAGCACTCTGGGAGGCCGAGGCGGGCGGATTGTTTGAGCTCAGGAGTTCGAGACCAGCCTGAGCAAGAGCGAGACCCCGTCTCTACTAAAAATAGAAAGAAATTAATCGGACAACTAAAAATATATAGAAAAAATTAGCCAGGCGTGGTGGCACATGCCTGTAGTCCCAGCTACTTGGGAAGCTGAGGCAGAAGGATCGCTTGAGCCCAGGAGTTTGAGGTTGCTGTGAGCTAGGCTGATGCCACAGCACTCTAGCCCGGGAAAAAAAAAGAACCCTTTCCCAAAAAAAAAAAAAAAAAAAAGACACAGTTACAGTTTTTCCTTTAGCATTTAATGTTCGCAGCAGAGGTGTCTATTTCCCTTTATTAAAACTTTCTAATCAGTTTTAACTGTTTAACCTTTCATGGAAAAGATTTCAAATAGTATCCCAAAATTCTTCTCTACCCTTCTAACATAGATAAAAGAATCACTATTTAAAAAAAAATCCATTGAAATAATGCTGGCCTTTTATAGATAAATAAGATCCAAAGTGGTGAGCTCCGGCTAGTCAGCGAGTGAACTATGTTCCAAACTCCCCAGCTGGTTACCTCTTACCCTGCATATTGCCTCAAACCCTGACCTGATGCATAGGCAGCTTCAAGTTCATCTACAAAGCTGGGCTTGAGAACTTGAAGCCAGTTTTTATTCACAGAAGTGTTATTTTGCTAGTGCCTTGGTCTGCATATCAGTGGCTTTCAGCGTACAGGAGGATACCTACTCTATGTTCCATTTTGCCGAGAGAGGCAATGGGGCAAAGGCATGAGGCATGGGAAAATAAAGTAACTATTGAAGGAACTGCCAGTAGATGAGAACACAAATTAACAGAGACGATGAAAACACTACTGAAAAATAAGGAAATAGAGAAAGATATTTGGAAAATATCTTTGACCCAGTATCTAGAAACAAGTTGGATTTGGAACAAAGATCATATTTCACTAAATTAATTTTTATTTGTAAATACCTGTTAAGTGTCCACTCATAGTTTTGTCATGACTATTGAATAATTGCCTGTATTTCAGTCTTGATGACTGAGGAACAGCCCATTCTGCCACTGGAGGAGCACTGTGAGGAAAAAAAAAAAAGGAGAGAAAGTGGATTATCCATAGGAACAGCCTACTGAAGGTCTTTAAAATCAGTAAACTAAGAACTTCTCTAGATAACCAAATATAACTTTAACATTTCATTCATTTTCTAATCACTATTTCTGAACTTGCTGCCATGAATATTTCCCATTTTTAAGGTTATAAACATTTCTCTCAAAATAGATAAGCTCATTATTTTTCTAGAATCAAGGGTACACACAACAGACCAAGTAGCTGCTTCAAATTAGTATATACAGTTTAATAATTTAAAGGTTCTATAAAAGTATGAAAAAAATCTCCTTAAAACTGAGGTGATCTAGTAGTGTTCACGCATTTCTAATTTCTAGAACATTTCTCTTTTGGTTAAAAAGCAACGCTGACAGCAAACAAAAAACTACCTAATTCTCCAAAATTGTGTAACTTTCTATACATCAAAATACAGGATCCATTTTTTAATGCAGATTATTTCATTCTGGGAAGTTTAAATTCCTTCCAAATAAAGAGTTTCCCAAAGAGCAAACAGAACATTTCCAGGGTCACGGCAGATCAGTGGAGCAATAACCAACAGAGCTCCGCTTTCCTGACTATACTGCAGTGACAGCCTCTCCTTGCCAACGTGCCACGACCCCGACCTGAGGAAACACCTGCCGGCAGTCAGTCTGGGTCTGGACATTCTTAGTGATTAGCTCCTCAGATGCCACTGCCCACACAAGTATCACATTGGCACCGATGGCTTGTGAAGGGTCTGATGTATAAATCGAGTAATTTAAACACAATGGCTGAGCTGACAGTAAAAATGGCATTCCCCTTTCAGGACAGATTACAAGTAACACCCTTTCATTTCACCAAAAATATCTATTTCACACAGTATTAATAAAAGCAAAATTTTAATCACACATTGAACCTTGTAATCATCATTTGTATGTGTTATCTATGCTCTTATTATTAATATATACAGTTCATTGAATATAGGAAACAGCTCCCAAACACTTGAAAAGTACCTATATGAATTCACCTTTTTCAATTTTTATGCATTTCTTAATAAAAACCACTTACCATGATCTGTTCTGTTGTGTGTACTTCTGTGACAACTCTCTCATTTTCAGCTAGCATTTTGCTGATTCCAACTCCTGACTATTCATCAAGAAGCTAACTATCTTGCTCCTGCATGCCAGGATGTTGGGTGTTACACACAGAAGTTGTCCCAGATTACACTTATCAACTCATAGTTTTCTGCCAAATTTCTGAGAATTTAAATAGACTAAACACTCATTAATATGTTACCCAAAAGTTAGATTGGGTAGACTGCATTGCCAAAACTGGCTACAAATTTAAATTATTGAAAAGGCAAATATTAACATAAAAAACCCAGTTGTTATAATAGCATGAATGTTTGCTAAAACTGATTATTTATTCATTCTAATGTCACAAATCAATTTTAAGGCAGATTTCAAAATCCCTTCTGCAAAGTCAGAGTAAACTCAAAGCTTCAGCATGGTATAGGAAAAAGAAAAAAAAGGAACTTAGTGTGGGATGATATAAGTTTAAATCTCAGCTCTACCATGTAACTAAGCTGTAAACTATGGGTGAGGAATATAACTTCTCTGGGCTTGCTTCTTCATTCATAATCTTGGATAATATCCATTGCACAGGTGGTCATGGGTCAAATGGGATTAATGAAATGCTGGCAAAGTAAATAATAAATGTTCAAGCGTCTTAAGAGTAACACCTTGGCAGGGTGTGGTGGCTCGTGCCTGTAATCCTAGCACTTTGGGGGGCCAGAGGTGGGAGGACTGCTTGAGGCCAGGAGTTTGAGACTAGCCTGAGCAAGAGTAAAACCCTGTCTCTACTAAAAATAGAAAAAATTAGCCAGGCTTGGTGGTGCACACCTGTAATCCCAGTTACTCGGGAGGATAAGGCAGGAGAATCCCTTGAGCCTAGAAGTTTGAGGCTGCTGTGAGTTATGATGACACCACTGTGCCCTAGCCCAGGTGACAGAGCAAGACCCTGTCTCAAAAAAAAAAAAAAAAGAGTATAACCTTAAGTAAATGGAACACAAATACCTGTATACCACAATTAAATAAAGTTTTTTAGAGAAAACAAAATCAGGAAGAACTCAGTTCAACTCTTAGCTCTGTCACTTACGAGTTATGTTCTCTTGGGCAAGTTACATGTCTCTGAGCTTGTCCCTAATCTATAACAGAAAATAATAGAGTCATCTTATAGGGAAGAACGAGTTAATGTGCATAAAGCTTTTGGCACTGTGCTTTTCAGGTTACTGATTTTCTTTAAATCGTTTTTGAAACGATAATGAATGCATGACTGAACTATATTCAATATGCTCTTCTCTTTAAAGTGGGAAAATGACTTGATTCACTGTGATATTATATATTGGTTTCGTCCACGATTGCTGATTCATATAACTCCCACAGCCCTGTTACAGTAAACAGAATCCCTCTCTTTGACCTCCTTGTACCCTCCTTTCACCTGTCCAAGGCAGAACTGTAATCTGATTGGGGGTCCTAAGACCCTCATTCCAGACAGGGTCCTGCCCTATACCCTGCAGAAAGGAATGCCACGCAGAGAGGCCAGGGAGAATCTGAACAGACAGGCCTTGCTAGGTTTCCCCACTTAGTCTATTAGTATGAGATCATACCCTTTTTACCCAACTACATTTCTACACGGTTGTCAGTCATGCCTACGTAATGAAGCCTACATAAACACCCAAGAGGACAGGGTTCAGAGAGCTTCTGGATAGCTAAATACATGGAAATTCCTGGAGGTAGCACACCCAGGGAGGGCATGGAAGCTCCACGCCCCTTCCCCCATACATCACCCTGTGCATCTCTTCATCTATATCCTTTGTAATATCCTTTAAAGTAAACTGGTAAATACAAGTAAGTGTTCCCCTGAGGTCTGTAAGCTATTCCAGCAAATTAATGGAACCCAAACAGGAGGTCATGGAAGTTCCAGAGGCCTGGACTTGTGACTGGCATCTGGGTGGGGAGGGGAAGTTTGGGGAACTGAGCCCTCACGCTGTGGGATCTGATGCTATCTCCAGGTAGATAGTGTTGGAATTGAATTAGAGGACACCCAGCTGGTGTCTGCTGCTTGGTGTGCGGGAGAAAACCCCTCACATTTGCCACAGAAATTTTGTGTTGATAATTACTGAGGAGGGAAAGCAGAGAGGAAAACATGATTTGAGTGTTTTTCCTAAATATTCACTTAAGGATTTCTAATGAGGATTGACTCCAGAAAAGATGGAATCATCTTCATTTACATCCCCCTTCATTTCAAAAGTTTTGAGATGGTTTACAAAGAGACTTAATTTCTCATCTTAGTGTAGTAGAATGCAAAGGCAGTATTAGGGTTAAAAGAAAGTAAGAAAATGAAAGATAATATGAAACCAAGGTTGGCCAAAATACAAGCAAAAAGGTCACATGAGCTTTCCCCAAATTGAGCCACATATTTGATTACTGTGAACTGTTTACTAAGCTGAATGATTCATTTTATAAAATGGTCTTTAATAGGATTTTACTAATAATCCACACTCCATGAGATTATCCGAGATAGAATTAAAAATAAGGCCAATTGTGGCTCCAATCTTCATATAAAAAATGTTATACATAAACTTCTAAATGATTAACACAAAATAGTTCATTTATTTTTCTTCTTCTACCCCAGAATTCTATTTTACTATTTTAAACATTTTACTACTCCCGATCTGTTATCCTCTTAGGAAATGTCATATCCTTGATTTCTGTCATCCCTGTGACACATTAATGACAAAATCTAGTGATGTTATCCAGAATTAAGAAGATTATTATTCGCACTCTACGAAAGTCTACAAAAAAAGAAGATAACAAAGAATACAGTTAACTCTTGTTCAAACTTATAAGTCAGTCAGATAATGGTTTTAACCAAACTTCCCATTTAAAAACAAACAAACTTACCTGGTCACATCAAATGATTGTGCCTTCTGTAATTTAGTGTTTAATTGTGACCCGGGACCAGATCTACTAAAGGAAGAACTCTTTGGCAATGTGGCTGCTGTAAAAATAAATAAATGTTGAATAACTTTAATTCTACAAAGATAAACTTATTTATGAAAATGAGAATGCATAGTAATCAAATCTGAAGCAGAAATAATTCCTCTTTTTTTACCAGCCTGGACTTAAAAAGAGCTACTCCCTCCTTACTTTCTGTCCTCCTGCCAAAAACGTTTCTACATTTACTTTTTCTACTGAAAAATTGCCTAAGTAGTAATGCTGACATCCATACAATTTTACTCTTCATTAAATATTCAGTATCACATTTTATAGGACCTGTTTCAATAAAGAGATAACAGCTTAAATATATAAAACAGCATTTTCTTAACTGCACACTGAAGGAGCTGAAGTATTAGTTCCAGATGTAAGAGCCAAAAAGTCACAGACAGCAGTCTTGGCCAGATAACATGTGACGCTAGGGAGGGTCAGCTTTTGTGTCTGATTCTCATTAGGGCTGGTTAATTGTGTCAGAAAAAAAACACTCCTAGCCTCAGCCACATTCCCTCACCCTCGCCTGCCATCTTGCAACATTTGCAACTGGCCACAAAAGAAAATAAAACTCAGAGTGTGTGGATTCACTGACACTTCTGGAAAATCAACTTCACACCCTTTTTAGCTGCAGTTGGGGTCATACATGAAAGATGGACTACATGTGACTTAAAAAAAAAAAAAAAAAGGAGGTATATTTAGATTCTCTGGCTATAACTTAGAGACATATCCTGATACATATAACAAATTTGGGGGCTACGGACACAGAAATGTTTCAAATATAATGCTATTGAATTTACTCAGACATATCCAAAGTACTTTTTAAAAAAATATTTTCTATATTGATATGAATTCATTAAGATTTGTTAGACTAAGGCTACCTACATCTATAGTTTATGCTTTCTATTAACTAAAGGAAAAAAGACTTTGAATAAAGTCTCAAAATGAAATTAATTAAACCAGTAACTGTTAAATCCTTTCTTTCAATTAAGCAAGCATGTAATACTATAAAATAATATACAGTGTTCTTTTTCTTCCCCCTGCTCCACACATAATTCTACCTAGAAATCTATAATTCCATTCTCTTTCCTTCTTTCTACCTTAGTACATCCCATTTAATATGTTGTAAAAAAATGAGAAATTAAGTTAAAAAAAAAAAGATATTTTCCTCTGGAATAAAGTATCATTTAAATATAATCAGAAAGTGAAGACAAAAGATTTAACAATAATGAACAGCAAAATACAAGTTGTAAAAATTCAGTATATGGTTTCAGCAAGTCACATACCAGGATGAGCAAATGCGGGCAGAGGTTGCATTACAGGGGGAGCCCCATTAGCCAGGGGAGGCACTGCTGCTGTGGGAACAGAAGATACTAGGGGTGGAGACATTCCAACCACTGGAATGGATCCCATTGGCACTGGAGCAACAGCTGTAAGAGGTGGCATGCTGGCGATACCTCCTATACCTATGAAGAAAAAAAAATCCCAAGAAAATTCACTTCCGATCACGTTTCTGCATTTAATGATAATTAACCTAGTACAGCTTGAAGAAGAAAATCACTTTCTGGATGTAATATATTCCCATTTAAAATATGGCTCAGAGAGCTCGGTTGGTGAATGCGTACATGAAAGTGCTGGGAGGGTCCTGCCTGGAGAGGCCGTGCAAGCTCTTCGTCCTCCCCAATACCTGGACTATGCCTCTCCTCCATTTGGCTATAATTGAGTTGTATCCTTTATAAAAAACCACTAAAGACAAAATAAATAAATAAATAAAATATGGTTTCAGATTAATCGTTTTGAAGAGTGTCAAAAATTATGTCAAGGATCATCACATCAAAGGACTCAAGACCCAACTTGAAGAGGAATCAAACAGATGAGGATCAATGAGAATAAATGTAGAGGACTTAAAGGCATTAAATACAGTTAAATCCACTAATTCAAAATGATATTTAAAAACAAACAAAATCCCAGCTGGCCATCATGGGAGGATGCTAGGCAATCGATTAGTAAACGAAACGTGAGGGGACAAATATTCAACCTGCCTTTCCTATATATATTGTACCTCAGGGTAACCCGACATCTGATGAGGGGGAAGTATCTCTTTAAAAAAGTATTCTAACCAGTATGTGAAGAAGAAATGATAGAACAACAAAAAAATGGTTCCTTTCTTTTTTATTTATTTGTCTCAATTTTTAAAACTTCTTTTGTGTTAAGTAAATATATTTTAGTGTTTAAATTCGTCTGTTGATTTTTTTTATTATTGTTTAAAAGTAGCTTTCTAAGTAGTTGTTCTAGGGATTAAAATCTCCACACTGATAATGAATTTATCATAACCTACTTCTAACATGGGCGGAGTTTCTAATAGAAACTCTGCACAAAAACAGCTCAGTGCCCTTTCTCCTCTGTGCTATTACTGTCACACACATTATGTCTATATATGCTATAAGCCCAGAAATACAGGGTTAGAGTTATTATTTTATATAATCTTGTATCCTTTAAAGTTTAGAGAAAAGGAGAAAAAATAGATTTATAGGGTCTTTCAAATTAACATACATATTTATCTTCTTTTTTGAGACAGAGTCTCAGTCGCCCCTGGTAGAGTGCAGTGGCATCATCATAACTCACTGCAATCTCAAATACCTGAGCTCAAGCAATCCTCTCACCTTGGCCTTCCATAGTGCTAGGATTACAGGCATGAGCCACTGTGCCTGGCTTATATTTATCATTTTTGATGTTCTTCCTTTCTTTTGATATATTTAAGTTACCATCTCCAATCATTTCCTTTCATCCTGAAAGACTTGCTTTAATATTTCTTTTAAGGCAGGTCTGGTAGCAATGAATTCTCTCAGTCTTTGTTTATTTGAAAATGTCATCATTTCACCTTCATTTTTAAAAGACAGTTTTGCTGAATATAAAATTCTTGGTTGGCTTTTTTTTTTCTTCTTGATGAGTTGTTTTTCCCTTGCTTCAAGATTTTATCTTGTGTTTGGCTTTCATAGTTTAACTCTGATGTGTCTAGGTATGGATCTCTTTGTATTTCCTTATTCAAGGTTTGCTGAGCTTTGAATGTGTAAAATAATGGTTTTCACTGAATTTGTGAAGTGTTTGGCTTTTATTTCTTCAAACATTTTTTCTGCGCCTTTCTCTCTTTATCTTCCTTCTAGGATACCCATGACATGTACTAATATATTGGTGTATTTGATCTTGTTCCACAATTCTGTGAAACTTTGTTAATTATTGTCAATCTTTTTGTTCCAAATTCTTTGAACTGAATAATTTTTATTGATGCTGCTTCAAATTCACTGATTCAGCTTTCTGCTACCTTGAATCTGCTGTTGAGATCCTCTAGTAAATTTTTCATTCTGTTCATTGTACTTTTCAGTTCTAGAATTTCCATTTTGTACTTTTTTGTAATTTCTATCTTTTTTTTTTGAGAATCTCTATTTGTTGATTCATTGTCATATTTTCTCTTAATTCTTTAGTTTCTTTAGTTTTTTGAACATAATTGCTGCTTTGAAGCCTTTGTCTGCTAAATAAATCTGACAGCTGGATCAGAGATAGTTTCTACTGATTGCCTTTCTTGAGTGTGAGCTGTACTGTCCTGTTTTTTAAAAAATGTCTCATAATTTATAGCTGAAAATGGACATCCTAGATAATGTATTTTGGCTACTTTGTCCCTGATTTTCCCCCAAAGGAAAATCAAACAAAACAACCAAAGGTTGTTTTTATCTTTATTTAGGAACTTACATGGGCTAAATCTGAAAAATCTATCCTCCCCATGTTGTGCAGCCCCTGATGGCTCTGCTCAGTTGGGATTTTACAAATTCTTGTTTCTATTTTTAAAGCTGGCTTGCTTGGGTTTGTCCCTGTATCTACATAGCATAGTAGTTGGCCAATAATTGGATGGAAGTTATACTTAAACACCTGAAGTCAGTAAGGCTTTCTTTCTCTGCCAATCAATCTGTAAGTCAACACAAAAATGTACTCAAAGTTCAGACCATTTTAATGTCTGCCCGAGTTTTTTCAGGGCCATTTCACATATCCTCTGTACATGCGTGTAGCTTGAGGGTTGGTCAGGAGTTTTTGCTGGCTTAGGCCCACCCTGGTGTTAGCCTCACATGTCTACTACCTCAACCAAGAATATACTTGCCCTAGCCATGACCACAACTTCAGGCTAATAGAGCTATTGGCCCTACCTGCTCATCTGCTGCCAAGATTGTCACTTCCACCGCCAAAGCTGCTGAGCACAGGTATTATTTCCACCTCCAAACTAAGTAAGTCCCCTTCAATAACAGTAGCAAGGCTGCTAGTATTTACAACCTGCCCCTCCATATTAACCAAGTTGAAGGGTTGGAGGTAGGAACATGCCCAGGAAAGAATGCCACAGATTTCTGCTTTTCCCACTATTCATACCTGAAGCTCAGCAGCTTTTCAAGTACAAATGATTCTCAGATAGTTATATATCTTTGTTTGACTTCCAGAGCACTGGAATGGTTATTTTGTCAATTTTGTCCAGCCTTATAGCTGCCCTTGGGGGAAGATTTTGCAGATCTCACTCAGGCATGGTCAGAAATCGCATCACTGAAATGTCTTTCAGGTTCTTTTAATCTACAGGCCCCTCTCCACTGCTTTCTTTTCCTTACAATTTATCTGTTGAAAGACCTGGGTCATATGACCTGTAGAGATTCACAGTCTGGATTTTGCTGATTGCATCTTCAGGGTACATTTCAACATTTTCCTCTATCTGTATTTCCTGCAAACAGGCAGATAGATCTGAAGATTGCATCAGACTCAGGTTGGATCTCTTTGGCAATACTACAGGAAGCACATAAAATGTAGTTGTCTTTTTGTGATCTTAGCAGTCATTGATGCTTAATGCCTATATTTATTCATTTATGGAGAATTGCAAAATAGTGATGTTCTAATTTTCCCATCCCTTTGTCATTTATTAACTGGAGTACTTTTATAAAGAGGTGTTTCTAATGAGGATATATTAGTTGGCTATTTGGTTGTATAGCTCATGCAGGAAAAGTATGATAAATGCTTGGTTCTTTCCTTTACCTGTTTTCAAAATAATGAATTGGTTCTCTATGAGTCTCCTAAGGTGAATTTTTTAAATAAGTATCATTAGTGAGTCGTACATTTAAGAATATTTGAGTTTTAATGCATGGCACTTATTATCATTTTTGAAGCTCAAATTGTTCTATCTTTGGCCAAGGTCAGCCTCTTCAGGTTAGCTTCTGAGAACTTCTGATATCACCCTATATTCTTTTTGATAGCTTCCTTGCTGACCAGTATTACAAGATGAGTCCTTCCAAGCTCATTATGTACATTTAATACTCTAGACCAAGATTCAGCCATTTCCCAAAAAACCTCTGGTTTCTTCTATTGAGAAATGGTATTTCAAGTTCACAACCTGGGCACTAGGAAAGCTCACTGCTTTGCCATGGTAGATCATTGTTTCTAGGCCTTTCAGTGGACAGAGCTAGGAGAGGAAGGGATGGATAGATGAATAGGCAGATGGGGGAGAGGACAGAAGCTTTATGAGTTCATATTGATACTTGCAATTTGATAATTCAAATTCAAGACTATAGAGCTTTTGTTTAACATTTGAGACTCTCTACTACATTGGTATCTCCTTCTTCCATACTTATTTTTTTTTCTTTTTATCTTTTTGTAGCTGCCAGGAATACTGTGTTGAGAACTTCCACACTTAGAATACAGATTTTCAATGTACATGATAGAAGGGAATGATAGAATTAGACTATTCCATAATTACTCATTTTTTATCACATTACAGATACAACAGTTTCAGAATACTAATACTACCACTAATATAATTTCTGAAAGCATTAAATCATTTTTTTCAAACATTCCTGCTCCTCTTATATTATATAGTTTTATTGCATCTACACTGTCAGAGCACATAGGAATTACGTCTTATACTCTCTCCTTCTTGCCTTCATTTAGGTCTTAGCTCTATAGGTAACTATATATTCAACGCTCACCACTAGTCCCAATACTGATGTATCTCTAGCTATTTTTGGTTGTCTGAAACTCATTCTCTAACAGATTTCTCAAGAAGGTTGATGTTAATATTCCCTGAGTCCTTCCACAATGATAACAGTTTGTCTATGTTCTTTCTACTTAAGAGTCAGTTTTTCTGGACACAAAATCCTTGGCTCATTCTTTCTCTGAGAATTCTAAATATGTTACTCCATTTTCTTCTGGCATAAAGCACTGCTCTCGAGAAGTCTGAAGATAATCTAATTTTTTCCCCTTGTAAGCCATGTGCTTTCTTTTTCTACATGCCCAAATAATTTTTTTAAGTAGAATATATCTTAGTGTTGGTCTTTCTAGATCTATATTCTCAGCCATATGATACTCTCTTTTAAACATAGTTTCAAATCTTTTATTTCAAGATAGTTGTCTTGAATTCATATTTACCATCTGTTCTATCCTCTTG